TCCCCCCCATTGACATGTAACGCTCAAGTCCAAGCGCGCTGTCCCTGTGTCTGCGTTCCGCAGCCAGAGACTTGTCAGCTGGCCCGCATTCATCGCCGGCCGGCTATTGCCATTACGTGAGAAACACAGCCGGGGCCTAAGGGCTTTTCTCCAGATTACTGGGGCTTCGAGCACCCCCCCCCCCTTTCTAAATAGTGTTGTCCATGTGGAGGCCACCAGTTGGTTTTATTTAACTGGAAGTGTGACAAAACCAAAATTTTCTAGTTCCAGGATAGACGAAAACGAACACTTCCCCTAATCCTTACCCGTACCCCCCCAACCCCCACCCTTTGCTTTACCCATACATCCTTGCTCCTGTCCATATCAACATATGGCAGTGTCAACACCATCTCTAAAATAATATTCATTGTCACTTTCTTGGTCTGACCTACGAGACAAGATTTCCCAAAAATGAAAGTCAGTGGGTTCCATGTTTTTTTTGTGTTGTTACAAATGGACAATTTGGCCAAAAAACACCTTAAAATTCGAATAAAATGGTTTGAGTTGTCAGCGTAAAAATGAAAGTCAGTGGGTTCCATGTTTTTTTTGGTTTTTTTTTGTATTGTTACAAATGGCTTATTTGGCAAAAAAACACCTGAAAATTCAAATAAAATGGTTTGAGTTTTCAGCGTTCTCATTGATCCTTTTTTTGTCTTGTGCTGGAGGGAACCCTCTTCTCTGGCTGGCTGACAAGTTTCACTTAAACATACAGTATCCACCAGTTCCACCAAATTCCAAGATGAACCAATGTGATGTTTCAAATGCCGACATTTGCTCTAAAAACTCGACAAACCCAGCGAACTGTGGGCAGTAGAAAAGGTCACGTTTTTTTTTTTTTTTGTCTTGCACTCAGGGGGAACCCTCTTCTCCGATTGGCTGACAAGTTTCCCTTAAACATACAGTATCCACCAGTTTCACCAAATTCCGAGATGAAACAATGTGATGTTTCAAATGCCGACATTTGCCCTAAAAACTCGACGAACCCAGCGAACTGTGGGCAGTAGAAAAGGTCACATACTTCACCAGTCAATTATTTTTTTCATGAATTTATTTGTAATGGTGGATTTTAGAGGCAGCTCAAGTGCTCTTTCCGTTTTTTTAATCGGAATTCCACCATACGGCAGGCCACAAAAACAAACTCCACAACCTTTGCCAAGGCGCACTGACCCTTATTAGCTTGTGCGGTAAATTGTTTACCTTCACGCGGCGCTTCATGGACTCTTTCTTTCACCTGATCAATGCTAGCTAGCTCGGCGCACAAACAACTGTGGGCCACGTTCATATGAGTGGAGGCAAAACGGCAAAACCGCCTCCCGTGTCCTCAAACGCGCCTTGTTGACGGATCCCACGTCTTGCGCCTGGCTGCGAATTCTTGCCTGTAACACATTAAGCCGGCAAATCGCTAAAGCGTTCGCAAATGCGCGCCGACGTGTTCAATGATCAACCCCAGTCTTTAACCTTGGCCGCCTCAGCCGGAACAAATCAGGGCGGTCTCGGGAAAGTTACGGGCGTCGCATCAGCGAAGCCGAGAGTCGGGAAAGCGCGCGGGTTCTCGTCGATTCGCTCACCCTTGATTGAACCCGTGCCGTCGGGCATTAGCTAGGCCAGCCGTGTCCCTCAAATCTTATTTTTTCCTGCCTCGCAGGATTTCCCTGACGGGCCAATGAAAAAACAACCCCGCTCTGAATTTTAGAACCTGGGTTTTACCACACTCGATCCACTTGCAGTTCTGAAAAGAAATCATCAATGCCGCACAAAAATGCAATGTAGCAGCATGCACCTGTGCCACATACATCATCTGACGCGGTTAGCAATCAATATTTATCTTGTAACATGACGCAAAACATAAAACGTTCTTATTAAAATACATAAATAATGATTCGTGAAGTGAGGATACATTCAAATCTTACTTGCCCGTTTCTTTTCTTTTTATTTTTTTTTTGGTCAACTGAAAAAACAAAAAAAGGCTAAGACTTGAGACTGGCATACGCAGTGTGTGCCTAACTGAAAACGACGGGAGCACACCAGGATGGGTCTTTGCGTCGGTCTCGGCACGCAAGTGTCTATCCCGCCAGTTCGGCTGTAAACATCTGTCCGGGCGTTCCTCAGGTTCCTGATGTGTGATGGTGGGCTCGGCCGGCTGTGACGGGCGTCGCTGACTGCCTCTCCGCTCCGGTTTGACCCCTCTGGGAGGAGTGACTCCGGCTGCGGTAGCAGCGAACCGTCGGTAAGCGTATAGCTAGCGTCCGCTGATGCTAACGGACAACGACAAAAGGTGTGAAGCTCACACCTTCTTCCTCTCTGCTGCCCCGGGGGGCTTCCTTCACTTTGTGGAGGCAGGGTGTGCTCAGGCTCATTTTGACTCGCGCCGCGGTTGAGGTGCAATGAATTTCAAAGTCCGTCAATAGTGGAAGCTCTAAAGACCGAATTTTGAGCAAACTGTCTGGATTAAAAAACAAAAAAAATGTCTCTGAAGTTGCCTGACCTTTGAGGACTTACCTTAAAGCCTTGCAGTCAAAAGTAAATCAAAAAATATGGTGGACGCCTTGATAAAGTGACAACAAAGCTCATCTTTTTTTTTTGGAAGCCATTTACATATCGTCACCCCAAAGTTTGGCCTTTCAAAAGATGACACACACCCGATTTCAAATGAATCCATATTGTCCTCAGGCTTCTCCGAGCCTTCCGACAAGCTGATCATTTGAATCGGGTGTGATGGGAGAAGGCCGACATGTAAAACAGGCTGGGTTGGGGCCCTCGAGAACCGCAGTTGGGCAGCGCTGGTCTAAATAAATCAAAAATGAATTAGAGTAATTTCTCCAAGACCGTTTGCAGAGCCGTTAAGAGTGGAGCTTATCAATACTCCAGTTTTTAATAATTCAGCCCTTGGGCCAGTTTAGTACCGGGGCTCGATACCCACATCCCGAAACGAGTCGTAACTTTACAAGAACGAAATTGTAATGTTACGAGAAACAAGTTGCCATGTTATGATGAATAAAGTCGTCATTTTAACCCTCCATGCACCCCGCCAAAAAAATGTGATGTGAACATAATCATGTTCATGTCATGAAATAAAGTTATAATATTCCCCAAAAGTCAGTCTTCCATCCAAAAAAAAAAAAAAAATCGTAATGTTGTAAATTGAAGTCATCATTTTAACTGGAAAAAAATACAAGTAAAAATTAGCCAACGTGTAAGGTTTTAATGAGGTTTATTTCTCTTTCGTGCTTCACCTCGCCGCCTTTGAGGTTGCTTGCGTCATACTCCCCTCCGTGTGCTTTTATGAGTGTGCAGTCGCCATAGCAACTTCACCTGCTTCTTTTTGGTTGCCCCCACCCCCACCAACGCCCTCCTCTCTCCTCCGCTGTTTCTCGCAGGCCTCAGGACACACCAGACACCCGCCTCCATCACACATCGAGAACCCACCCCTCCCTGCCCACTTTTTTTTGTTTTTTTTGTTCTTTTTTTAAATACCGTTACAGACTCAAGATATCCCCCATTCTCCCCTCAGCCCCCGCCCAGCTTTGTTTACAAGTATGCAAGGAGATGTGCGCTCATACGCACGGGCGTGTGGCTAAAGCGCTGCCGGATGGTGAAGATGAAGACGTTATTATCCGACGAGTAGTCCTTATATCATTCTTATTCGTGTTAGTAGGATTATTAAGAGCATGACATTGAGACAAAAAAAAAACAAAAAAACAAAAAAAACAACTAACTAAAATTGTTCCCCCCCCCCAAAAAAAAAATATTTGTTTTTTAAGAGAGGTATTTTTGTAACCAATTTAGAAGGGTTCATGTTGGCCTAGCGTGGAATTACGATGCAACAAATGAACAAATTATTTTCAGTTGTTACCATTTTAAAGTTGTTCTATTGTGAGGGGGGACAATGTGTAATCCCGTGATACTGTTGCGAGAAAAATTTTGAGAGAATGGTTGTAACATTTCAAGAAAGAAAGGGGAAGTAGGGTTTGCGTTACAACCTCTCCCCACACAGTTCCCGCCCTTTGACTCGGCTGCGTTCATAAATTCATCTGCAATCTGGCAGCACGCGAAGACGCCGAAATGTTAGTTTTTTAACGAAGTTCAAGTTTTTTCTTTTGATCTTAAAATGGCTTCCCTTAACCAGAATCCCATGTCGCACTGTCGCGGAAGCTACAATCCTGGTGGATTAATGCACATTGTGAACTATCTTTGCTTCTTCTTCGTCTTCTTCTTTGAAAGAGGACAAAAAAAAAAAAAAGATCTTTCACTGGAAGTAGAAGAATGGTAGTCATGGCAACCACCTTTCGGTTTGCACAACAAGGTGTATTAATCTATTACGATTGTATTTTGTCTTCAATGTGACTTCTGGTTAAGGAAAGCCATTTTAAACTAAAAAGTAAAAGTCACATTGTTATGATATGGATGTTTCCTCGTCTTTCTGTGCGGCAGAAGTCGGAGCTTGCTCTGCTCACATTAATTTCTGAACGCAGCTCTTTACTTTCCAAAGAAATTGCCATAATTTTAACAGCAAGAAATTGTCGCATTAAAATAAAAAAGCTGTTGTGTTCCAAGACAGCCGTAAAGTTGCAATAAAAAAAGTAACGTTGCAAGACTACTTTTACAAAATTGCTTGAAAAAGCGTCGGTCGTGAAAGTAGTGGTCATCTTGTTGCAATGAAAGTTTAGATTTCATCACACAGTATATAAGGAGGTCCAATATTCCTTGAAAAAAATGAATAAATTTGTGCTATAACGGGAAAAAAAAGATGGCATTTCGCCATAACAAGAAAATTGTAATAAATTATTTGTGTTACGAAAAATCATTCCCCTTTTTTCACCCACAAACACTGGTTGTGCTCGTAATATAAAGATTTTTTTTTCTTGCAATTTTATGACCATCAAAGTCAGAATTGTTTTCTTGACTTTTCGTTTCTTATGCTTGTAAAATTACACGTGTCCCTCTCACAATATTAGGACTTCATCTGACAATCGAACAAATTATTAGGTTTTTTTTTTCCTTATTTCTTTTTTTTTTTGTTAGGGCTGTCCTCTACATGGTAGTCCAAATGAAATGCCAACAGATTACCTCCGCCTAGTTCAACATGAAACTCTTTTGTTTGACCTCTGGAGTTAGTGCCGTGGCTTTGTTTTTTTTTTTTTGTTTGTATTTTTGCTTTTTTTTTTCTTTGCCAGCCAACGAGAAGAGAGTGCGATACCAAAGCCGTACTGTTGGCGTGCTCTTGTTGACGCGAGTGTTTCTTTTTTCGAGACGGCAATACACGGCTATAATTAGCAACAGACCAAAGGCATTTCATTTTGTACACTGGAGCTGAGCGAGCTCGGATCGTGCAACTTTTCTCTTTTTGACGCCTTTCATCAAGTCCTCAATCGGATTTTTTTTTCTTCTTCTTCTTTAGTTAAGGGCGCTGACTTGAAGTCTCCTTTTGTCTATTTTTAGGCAGCCGAACTACTTTTCTGTATTGAAATGTTCATCTTTAAGAAGGGAGCCGAGTCTGCCGTAGCGACGTCCATCGCAAAAATCTTGTCTTTGCCACATTTTGACGTCCAAATTTTTACATGTCGTTTTCGTAAACAATCTTCCCCGTTAGGTAGCGTCGTATCTCGGAAGGCGTATTTGGACCACACTGTACTGAAAGAAAATGACTCAAAAAGGCCACAGGAAAAAAGCCGGAATGGTAACGGACATAAATTGCAACACTGTATTAGTCACAATATTCTATGAATAAATTCCTAAGATACCAGGAAAAAAAAGTTGTGTTACTAGGAAAAAAAAATTCGGACCAGCATAAACAAATGCGATTACGATAAAAAAGTCGTGTGAAAAAGTCGCAGTGTTGTGAAAAGTTGTTCTGTTGTGAAAATGAAGTCCATACTTTTTTTTTTTTTTTTCCTTCTTGGTATGTTACTACTTTATTTTTGCCCAAATTTTCTATTATGACTTTTTTTTTTCATTGATTTGTCCTTTTTTTAAGATGTTTCTTCCTCACAATATTACAACTTGAGCTCCATCATATTTTTCCTGGAAAGATGACTTTATTCTGGTGAATGCATTTTATTTTTGAGTTATTCGTGACTTTATTCCGTGTACATCGAGTTGTTTATTTCGCATATATTCGGCTAACTTTATTCCTGTTTATGTGTGGCCCAAATACACCTTCCTATCAGACTAGTTGATGTTTAACAATTATTAATATGCACAATGGTATCCGATCCGAGATTTTTTTTTCATTTATGAGGCATTTTTTTCATGCCGTTTTTTTTTTTTTCTTTCCAAGTATTTATAAAGTGTGTGCGTGCGTATTTTATGGGTGTTGTTTTCCCAATTATATAATTCAATGTAAGTATTATTGTATATTCATTTGTATGTGTGGGTGTGTGTTGTATCTGACGGGTTGGAACGTACTGTACTGTATGTATCATATACTGTATAAATACTACATAATTCACTGTGAAATCCTGATTTAAAAAAAAAAAAAACGAACGAAAAGAAAACAAATGCCATTGGGGTGTTTTTCTAATATGGTACAGTACATGCTTGTTTGTGTATATGTTGTTGCTAGCTGCATATTAGCCTAGCCTTGTTTGTCTCAAAACAACAACAACAAAAAAAGGTTTTTATGAAAATGTTCAATGAAGACATTTCAGGCCGTTTGCCATTAAAGATCGACATGATCCCGATTTGTATGACCCAGAGTTGCTTTTGTAAGGTGGCGTGCCGAGGAGTGCGAGTGTGCGTGAGTGATCCCGCTTGCGTGAACGTCTGTGCGTGTCACACAATTAGGAGCTGCACAACACCATCTGGTGGTCAGAAGGACGACTTGCGCCTACAGATCTTCAAAGAGACTGCGCGCCAGTCAGTCCTCGTTTCAGTAATTCGACATGAAATGTATGACAAAAGAATATTCGAAGCCGACTACTAGATCTGATGAGAATATATGACAGGACTAAAAAAAAAAAAAAAAAAAAAACATCCATGGGCATTGAAATCCATATC